CTGGCACTGAGGTGAACGAGGATGTGGAGGACCCCAACCGCCGGCGTGATCCTTCAGACCCAAACAGGCGCCGCGATCCAGCTGACCCCAACCGGCGCCGCACTGACCCTTCGGATCCCAACCGGCGTCGTGACCCGTCAGACCCTAATCGGCGTCGTGCTGGCACTGAGGTGAGCGAGGATGTGGAGGACCCAAACCGCCGCCGCGATCCTTCAGACCCAAACAGGCGCCGCGATCCAGCAGACCCCAACCGGCGGCGCACTGACCCTTCGGNNACCGGCGTCGTGATCCCTCAGACCCGAATCGGCGTCGTGCTGGCATTGAGGTGAATGAGGATGTGGAGGACCCAAACCGCCGGCGCGATCCTTCAGACCCAAACAGGCGCCGCGATCCAGCAGACCCCAACCGGCGCCGCACTGACCCTTCGGACCCCAACCGGCATCGTGATCCCTCAGACCCAAATCGGCGCCGGCGCGCGGAATTCATCCACAGTGAAGGGACGGCCCAGAATGCCTGGGACAAGGCCGTGGCCTACTATGCTGGTTCAAAATGGGATTCTCGCACAGACTCTGTTCTGTTGGATGCGGAGGCCAACAGTCTTTGCCCCTTGTTCGGCACGTGTGATGAAGAAGATGAAGGAATCTCCATGGCGACCGACAGAATTTTCAAGCACTTTGAAAATGGCCAGACGGCGCTGAGGGAGGCTCAGTGTGGCAACTTAACCGATGAGCGTGATAAGATCGTCTCCTTGATGTACGTGCCGCTCATTCAGAATTTGCTCCATGCTGCCTACAAGTTGGCAACAAACAAGACGGTGGACGGAGAGAGGGACCGCAGCTATGGCATCTTCTTTGCCAGGGTCATGCAGCCAAAGTTGGCCTCTTGCGACCAAGAAGTTGCAGACATTGTCGGCCGGAACATGCTCGTGCCCGGGTAAAATGGGGTTTTGCAAACATTTTCCACTTACGGATACTGCTTGGGGTTTTTTATATAGGATGAAGATTAGAGTATTCTGGGGTCTACATCGTTCCCCTATGTATGGAAACTAGCAAATTACGAAGTATTTCTTCCGGGACATGGTTGACTTGCACATGTGCCATAGCTTGTCTTTGGCCCGGGTCAGCCAAGGTGCAGAGGAGTGAAGAGCCACTGCAAGACGGATACGCGGAGGCTTGCTGGATGCGGGATGCTGCAGATGTTAATGATTGTTAATGCTGTGAGGACTTGTGAGGTACTAACGAATTATCAAAGCAAGGTAGAAAAATCAGTCCAGGTGGGTCCGGGGGAAGAGGCCAGGCTATATCCATGTCTTGCGGCCCGTGCTGTCCCGGGTCTAAAAATTTCATGCAAACGAGGACGATTAAAGCATATACTTAAAGGCCATGTGTGCGCATTGAAATCGCTAACACAACGCAACCCAAACTTCTCAGCTGCAACTGGGGGTCCTTGCCAGTGAAGCACGTTGTATTTGTCTCGCAAGATGACAAGGAACCCATCATGGGGATGCGGCCTGCTCTCTCAGAGGGGTCTGGTGCCTAAGCCCAAGGTTGCAGGTGCATCATGTCTTGAGCGGGCGTCATTTCCGACGTGCTTGTAGTCCGTCAGTTTGTAGCCTTCGGCCATTGCAATTGCAAGGTAGGAAGAAAACTTGGTCTCAAAATGGTGTCTGCTGTCTGCTGCCTCGCTGTGAGGGTCTGTAAAACTTGTCGAATTGCAAATGTCTCATGTGGATGCAGCATCCTAAAACATTCCCTGCCCAACAGAAGCACCCCACAACATGGTGGTTTCGAGGGCCCCTCTCCCCGCCTGTGTTCGAAAAAAAAATCCCCACCCCCCCCCGGCAGCCAGCCAACCCCATGCCGATTCCACACCCATGTGGGTTATTGTCAGAAGCATGGCCCCATTTTGTTACAAATTGAAAGTTACACACATAATATTTAAGGATGCCAAAATGAGATCCACATTTTGGGAAGCACTCATGGAACCACTCATAGCTTCCAGAAGGGTTGGGGAGTCAAGCCAGAGGGTTTAGGGCTTCTAGAGTTTAGAGGTTTAGGGCTTAGGGTTTAGGGGTTTAGGGTTTAGGTGTTTAGGGTTTAGGGCTTAAGGTTAGCATGAACAAAGCCACCTAGGCCAAGACTGCCTCCAAACTCAATACCAGGAGCCTCCTTGTACCCTGAAATGGGGGCATGTTGTCCCTGAGAATGGGTACTTAGGCCTAAATTGAATAAGCTGTCGGCAGTGCTGGTGTTGCACGCTGCTCGCGGGAGAGTATGAAGCATGTGAGCACGCGCTGACACATCTCAAGACTTGGGCCCCTTACAATTTACCTTGATCAATCACACCTTGACCATGGAAATTCTGCAATGTTGGAATTATTCTTTGCATCGCGAGTGCGGAAAACGATAAGGTCTCTACTCTAAGGAGCTGGTCGTGTGTAACTACTGGGGTCGTTACACTTTTCCACTCCACCCCGCTTCTGTGACGGACTTCAGGAGAGATGCAGGGCATGGGGAAGATGCGGATAGCAGGTTCCTGTACAACTTGAACTCGAGCTGTATGTGAGCTATTGCCAACAGTTGCCTTTTTCAGGGAGGTTTATAACAGTGGAGAAAGAGGCCCTTCTTGAGTTTAGTATAGTCCCTTATAAGGAACCCATGTCCAAATGATTTGGGTAAAATCAAAGCCAGTCTCCGAGTGCACAGTGCTTCAGGCCTCATGAATAAGAAATTGATCTAAGCCCTCTATGTCCCGTATCATATCTCTTCAGACAAACATATAATCCCAGTTTCCATTTTGCTATGTGTGAAAAGTTGTGCTTTCAAGATCTTTCAAGTTACAGGCTGTATACTGCAGGAGGGCTCTGCTGGAATGCTCTCAGCAATCAAGGATCTGGACGTGTCACGTACGGGAATTCGTGATAAAACGCATTTGTCAGACATGGCCACACAGGCCCCTAAACTCTAAACCCTAATCCCTAAACCCACCTTATTTTGGTAAACGCTCATTCACGCATTTTGCAAACCACATGATGCAGGGAGTGCTTTTTATCAGGCATTTTGTTTGGTGTTTAGTAGTGGTTGGCACGCAGCTTTAGGGCTCCTTCTTTTTCCATTTGTTATGTAGTCTTCTGCTGGGAATCCCCTCTTGTTGCCTGATGGGTATGGGTAATTTTGGGTTCCAAGAATAATTTGGGCTTTAGAGCCCTAGACCCTAAACTCTATTCAGAAAAGCCGGTTAGGTTCTCATGGCTCACATATTGATTTCCCCAGACTGAGGGTACCCCCCCATCTAGAACCCAAAAGGTTTTAACCCTTATTACAGGGACTCCCAAGAAGGTATTAGGGTTTATAGAAATTGTATAGGATTCAGGTCGGGAGTTTTGACCGGGTTTTGACCAAGCTTCCGCTTTAAGACGCCTTCTGCATTTCGCTAAAAATCGTGGCTTTTTGGGTTGTGTTCAAACCCTGTTTCTCAAGCTCTTCGGGCCTAAGCAGCCAAATTGGCGCCCAAAGGCCCAAACTGGCCTGGCTCCTAAAAGCCAAAATGGTTCCAAAAGGCTCAAATCTGCCTAAAATGCACAAATCGGCTCCAAATGGTTGCAAAAAATACCACATTGCTCCAGAAGGGTGGAAGGGCCCAAAATGGGTCCAAAAAGCACGCAATGGCTCAGCAAGGCCGAAAAGCACAAAATGGCGTTGAAAGGCGCAAAACGGTTCCAAAAAGTTCAAATAGGTACAAAATATTTCCGAAACGCCAACAATGGCTCCACAAAAAAAAAGATGTTCCAAAAGCCACAAAGGTGGTTACAACAGGACGAGATGGTTCTAAAATTGGCTAACAAAGGCACACAGTCGCGCAGCCTCGAGCTTTTTTTGCCCTACTCGGCCAAATTGGCAACCAAAGCCCCTAAAGGCAAAAGTGGTTCAAAGCGCAGAATTTGGCTCGCAATGGCCCAAATGGATTCCTCAAGGCCAACATGGTTCCAAAAGGTTCAAGTTGGCGTCAAAACGCTCCCAATGGCCATTAAATAGACTCCTGAAAGGCGGCCTCAGGCCCCGGAGCCGAATTTGAGGGTTTAGCGTCCCTAAACCCTCAAGCCAGCGATAAATAGAAATTGTATATTCCCGCGTGTTTTTTTCGCATATGCATGCACGAACCTCTATACTAGGGCAGTGTTGCACCAGCCTGGCCCGCAACTCAACCGCAAACATCTAAAGGATCCCCCATGCGATACCCATCATTTTTTTACCAATTTCTGAAAACCAAAAAATGGTCGCTGTTGTCAAAGATGACCCTTTTGGAACACCCAAATTTGGGCTCCAGAGCCTAAGGGCCTCCCTGTGGATGTTCCTATTTTTGCGCATGTTTGGCAATTTTTGGCGGCCCAAGAATTGCAAATTTGGTACCCCAAAACCACCAAGTTCGGCTCCAGAGCCTAAGGGCCTCCCTAGGTATTGTTCCTTGTTTTGTGCATTTTTGGCCATTTGTGGCGGCTCGGGAATTGCAAATAAAAAACAAAAATGACCATTTCGGGACATTCCAAATCACCAAATCGGGCTCCACACCCTAACGGCCTCCCCAAACATTTTTCCTTATTTTGATCATTTTTTGCCATTGGGCGCCCCGAGAAAGGCCGTTTTTGGTCAAAAATGAGCATTTTGGAGTCCCTAAAGCCGCCAAATTTCTGCTCCAACCTACGGGCCTCCTCTGGTGATTTTCCACTATTTCGGACATTTTGGGACCCCCAGGCGTTCAAATTTGCGTTCAAAAGCCTAAGGATCTCCTTGTGGATTTTCCCATATTTTGTGCAGCTTAAGGGCATCCCTAGAGATTTCCCCTATTTGCAGCATTTTGATCAAACATGACCATTTTATTTTGGAACCCTTAAACCACAAAATTTGGGTTCCAGAGCCTAAGGGCATACTTAAGTATCTTCTCATATTTTTTGCGTTGGCTGTTTTTGATCAAAAATGAACATTTTTGCGACACCCAAGCCCCCAAATTTGGGCTGCAGAGCCAAAGGGCCATTCGTGGGTTTTCAAACAATGGTGGGTATCCCATGGAAGGTCCTTTAGAGTTTTGCGGTTGAATTGCGGGCCAGGTTGGTTCAAGACAACACTGTAAACATCCAACTCTACATAGCAATAACGTAACGCATTGTGTACAGCAAGCCTAGTGCTAGTGTACAGTTTTAAATGTGACAAAGATTTTTGGTTGTGCGCTTGTTAGTAAAAAGTGCGTTCTTCCTCGTGCCATGTCCCTCCCTGCATCAAGCACTAACAATAAGAATATCACTAACACTTCTGGCCCTAAACCCTAAACCCTAAACCCGCCATAGACCAGCCTTGGTAGGTGAAGCGGGCGGTGGAGCGGACTTACGACTGCCTGGGCCTGGAGTGCCGGAGCCTTTGTGGTTTCAGCGTTCCCCGAATTCTTTTCAAGAGCGTGTGGCTGTTTCACCGGTTCATGGTTTAGTTTATAGCCCCCTTAAATAGATAGAGTATGGCTTTGGGTATGTTATTATAAGATCCCACATACCCCATATTCTATCTACTTAAGGGGGACCACAGGGTTTAGGGTTCAGGGTGAAAGTTGCAGGATGTGCCTAGAGTCTCTACAGGCCGTTGGCACAGTAAACCCCAAAACACACACGCATAAACTACTTACAGCCGCCGTGTGAGGTGGAGACATCGGTGGGATTCTGGAGGATCCGCTGTCTGAAGCCAATGTGAAGTATGCTCCTGGAGCAGAGCCATGTGGTCTGGACCTTATCCCTTGCCGCAGATGAGTCCGTGGAACAATCCATTCAAAATGGCTTTGACACCGGGGTTCTGCTGGTCATCATCTTCAGCGCACTTGTCTTTGCCTCTGCGGTGGGCCTCCTGGCTTGGCGCATTGCGTACGCTCGTGGCAAGGACGCCTATACACGCTTTCATCCAAGGACAGGCGCGCAGATTACGATGGCTAATGATGGGTATTTGCTGTGCAGTTCGCCTCGCCATAAGCCCTATAGAAAGCTGCAGGACGCCAGAAGCCTCGCCGGCCGGCACCGAAAGAGTCATTGGCAACGTCGGCACCGACACGGTCATTGGGAACATCGTGCCAGAAACAGAGCCGCCAGCGGACGCTGTTGAAGCTAGCACGATCAAGATCTGAGATCATCTGAGGACCATTGCACTTTTCTTCATGTTGCGCCGCAGGCTGTATGACTTTGTCTAATCTGCTTCCTAAGCCACACTGGCTTGATGCTTTTCGATACTTTGTTGCACCGAACCGGAGGAGCACCTTGAAAATGAGCCGGGTTTGTGAAGCTTGTATAGACCTCTGACAGATTTTTTCCATGGCTGTCCAAGCCAGCTTTCGGACCCTGGCCTTTTGTTCAGTAGCTAATGGAAAAGTGGCTAGGTCAAGGCTTATCTTACGGTCAATTGTATCGGGTTTCATAGACGACCAACCTTTTTTTCTTCAGGGATCCATTAAATTGACTGAGGAGTCGGCATCTGTAGGTGTGTCAGCTAATTGTAGAATCCATTATTCCAGGCTTTACGAGGGAAGAAAAGTCTTAAGCTTGTGAACGAAGTAACCAATTTTTCTTCAGGAGCTGTAATGTTTCTATTGGGCTAGGTTAAATGATGCGGCCACTGAAGAAGTTTGGGTAGGTCTGCATTGAAATCTAGGTTAATTGTATTACGCTTCTTCCTGTACCTACAGATTTTACAATTAGCGGTCTAATGAATGACTTACGGTAATAGAAACATCTAGAGCAATTTTGGGAGTCGCGCGCCATGGCGACCGCAAGCGTCCCCCTCCAAGATCAGCTGTCACTCCGGGTTTCTCCAAATAAGGGGTGCCCTTGCGGGTCCCAATAATAAGAATTATAGTATATTGGGGTCTATAGAATATAGGGCCCCCCATTTAGGGAAACTACCATTACATCACACTTCATGTGAAGTGCCATTTTTGTGAAAGTTGCGGAATGATCGTGCTAGAGTATGGACTACATCCCGATTTGCATGGGGATGGCGGAATCTAGAAGCTGCTTCCCAAGTCGCAACTTCACAGGTTCCAGTCGGAACTGTTTTAATTTGTAACGCTTGCCCTTGCCAGGCAAAGGCAACGACTTGCACAGCAAGTTCAGACGAAACATTTTTCCCTTTGTCTCTTTGTGGTCCATGGTGCACTACGCCCATGCTGACCGCGACCCCGCCTGCTGAAATCAGCTCGTATTTCTGTCAGGTTTTCATGATCAGCACCACTCTGTGAAAGTTGCGCAGGGAAGCATCAATGATCGTGCTAGAGTAAAGGCTGGACCGTGTCCCATTTGCAAAGGAAATTCTGAACCTAGAGTCTGGAAGCCACTTAGCAAGTCACAACTTCACAGATTCCAGTCGGAGCTGTTTTGATTTGTAACGCTTGCCCTTGCAAGGCAATGGCAACAACTTGCACAGCTCGCACAGCAAGTGCAGACGAACCATTTTTCCCTTTGTCTCTTTGTGGTCCATGGTGCACTACGCCCATGCTGACCGCAACCCCGCCTGCTGAAATCAGCTCGTATTTCTGTCAGGGCTTCATGAGAAGCACCACTCTGTGAAAGTTGCGCAGGAAACAATCAATGATCGTGTTAGAGTAAAGACTGCACCGCGCCCGATTTGCAAAGGGCTTTCTGAATCTTGAAGCCGATTCCGAAATCTCAATGTCACAGATCGTTTCAATAGCTTGCCCGACTCTGTGCAGTGCGGAAGCTTGCACGTCAAGTGCAGACCACAGCTTCATACCCTGTCTTTGTGCGGCCCGGGGCGCACTGCTCCCGTGCCGACCGCGAGTTAAAAAAACATGCTTTCAGGGCACTAGGTGTTACGCAGTAGGCAAAAGCAGAGACACTGCCCTTGCATATCACCAAGTCCGCACTCACAACCTGTTCAGAACGCACAAAATCTTGACCCGGATTGAAAAGACAATGCTGTTGAACATCCTGCCAGTGGTAAGATGCTCAGTGACTAATGTGGCTAACGACGGCTAATGCATGCTAATGCAACCATGGCAACCACAGTAGGATGAGCTAGAGACGTACTGGGAAGCATCAAGAGATAGGCCCATTTTTCAATGCATCCCGCTAGGCTATATTATCCACACTTGGAAGTTGAAAAGCACGCGCTCGTCTATGTGACCACACGCTGGGCACTTAAGTCGAGTGATTCCTAGCCAGCTTGGACGAGCATCACAAAAGCCCCGTTTGCTCCTGCGGCCATCGTAGCCCTCCTCCTAACTTGTGCTGATGCTTGGTTTTGAGCCAATTGCCTCGTTGCAGCATGGCGCTCTCAAGACCCGCTTAGCGACTGCCAAGGTGAGCCTGCGGGCGTTTTCCATCTTCAACTTTACTGGGTTTCTGTTACGGAACTCAATTTCAGTTCCGATATTGGGTAAACCATATTGATTCCCATACCCATTATGGTAACTTAATTCCTGAACAGCAACCCAGTCTATCGGAATGTTTTCAAAGCCTCCGTCCATAGTCTAAATGGTGCTCCCTGTCTTCCTCATTGCTGGATACGCGGCAAGTGTCGAGGCCATTTTGGGGTTAAGGGTTTCGGGGTTCCCTGAAAGGCCAGAACTTGTATGTAGGGTTTAGGGTTATCGCGATCTATCGCAGTTGCTGCTGTGGTGCGACCAGCCCTCCAGCATTCTTCGCTGGAAAAACCGTTTTGTCCGCCTGCCAAATCGTAAAAATCAACGCAGAAATCACGATACTCACTTTGGTGGACGTTTTGTAGTTGAGTTGTCTTCTCACTGCTTTGCCCTCTGTAGCGTTTCGTGCTGGCCGTCTAGCCCAAGTGCTGCACCTTAAAGCACAAGGAAGCTGGTGGGTGCTTGGGGTATCATTCTCGAGCAACCGAATTTAAGCGCCTGGGGCAGTTTTGCCACCGAGAGTCCAAGATGACGTTATACGACTTTCTGCCTTTCCGCATTTTTTTTGACGAGGCCAATTTTTGAAGGGTTAGGCATCACCATATAATGCCCTATACATCCCTATATAACCCCATAGAACCCGTATATACCCTCATATGCCCACCCAAATCCCTGAGATTCCCTCAGGCTTTGGATGGCATTGAACCGCTGAGGTGAGGAAGGCACTCTCGACATGACGACTTTGAGACTTATACAGGGTTTATGGGTTAGGAGATTGTGCTGTATAAGCCAGATGTCTCCCAAGGGTCTATATGAGCTATAGCCTAAAGTGGCTTATGCAGGGGATTTACAGTAAAGGGGAGTATCATAGGGGTTATCAAGGGGGATACTAGGAGTTTAGACCATAGCTCATATTTGGGTCCCCCATGTATGGAAACGACCATTCCTCGTGCAGACGGACAGCTCCCCTATCATCTGCCTGAAATACAGGAAGACGTATGCTAATCTGGGTTGCTGTTAAGGAACTTCCAATTAAGTTTGCTATAATAAGGAAACTTATTATATACGACACACTTAAGCCCTAAACCCTAATTTAAGTTCCTCAACAGCAACCCAGCAATTCATGTAGCCCAGGCTAGGCTGCCAATCGCAATGCTGTCAGGACAACATCTCCCTGGAGTCAGGATGGCTTCAGCAACTGGGTTTACGGAGGGTTTAGGGTTTAGGGGTTTAGGGTTTAGGAGTTTAGGGTTTAGGGGTTTAGGGTTTAGGGTTTACGGCTTAAGATTTAGGGTTTAGGGATGTGATCGTTGCAATCGGTCAGAACTACTCCTAGTGGTTCCGGTTCAATGCGTCCCCTTAAATGGATTTCTGTTGGTCAAAGTCCCAATTGCTTTAAAAGTAGCATGAAACTCAGACGCATCTCTGTCCTTGTTTAACTGGAGTTTAATGTGATGTACTTGTTTTTAACTGAGTGATAACCCTATTGATAAGCGGGCTAACATAAAGGGACGTCTAAGTAGGGCTACAAGCCCAGATCTAAGTAGTAAACAAGTCCCGCGAACCTCCAAATGCTCAATCCTGTTCTGGCTGCTGTCACACAAATCAGAGCGAGCGAAGCCATGTAGTAGTTGCCATAAATAGGCCCTAATGTTTGGAAAGCCTTACCTTGTAAACCCTTATGTAATCCCGGTTTTCATTCAATTTTCTACGTTGTTTCCATTCGATTCTCTATTGTTGGCCTACTATATGCCAACGCCCGAAACTTTAAACCGTGTTCTTCCATTCCCCTTTAACCCCATGTAACCCATGGAGCTGGACGGCTTACAGCTAAGGCCGACAGGACGTGAACGGTGATGGGCGAATCAGCGCTGCTGAGCTGAAGCGCTGGAAGCCCGTAGATGAGTTCGCTACGTCCCATAGCTGCAGTGAGTGAAATTGGTTGACTGTGGCATCTGCCCCAGGAAAGCATCCATGGCCGTGCTAGAGTAAAGAGTGGACCGCGTCCGATTTGCAAACGGATTTCTCAATCTAAAAGCCGACTCCGAAATCGCAAGTTCACAGATAATTCTGATGGCTTGCCCGACTCTGTGCAGTGGGGAAGCTTGGAAGCTAGAGTTGTTTCAATTTGTAATGCTTGCGCTTGCCTTGTGATGGCAACGACTTTTACAGCTCACACGGCCAGCGCAGACCATAGCTTCATACCCTGTCTTTGTGCGGCCCGGGGCGCACTGCACCCGTGCAGACCGCGAGTTAAAAGACATGCTTTCAGGGCACCAGGTGTTAAGCAGTAGGCAACAGCAGCGGCAGCAATCACAACCTGTCAATAGCGCTTAAAGCGTGTGGGAAAGGCAATGTTGTTGAACATCCTGCCAGTGGTAAGATGCTCGGTGACGAAGACGGCTAATGCAACCACACTAGGATGATGTAGAGACGTACTGGGAAGCATCAAGGGATACTCCCATTCTTCAATGCATCATGCTTTGCTATATCCACACTTGGAAATTGAAAAAATATGCGCTTGTCCATGTGCCCACAAGCTGGCAATTTGAGTCAAGTGATTCCCAGTCATCATGGCAGGAGAAGCAGCATAGCAAGAGCCAGTACGAGCCATCGCCATTATGCTATTGCAGCGACATGTTAAGCGCAGCAGCAATAGCCTGACATTGGGCAAGCCCAGCGACATTCCCAACATGTAAGGAATTTCAGTCAAGATGACCACTCCGCCTACGGATGAGTGTCACAAAGCC